GTGCCTACTTGTGATCTCTGTCAAATAAGTAAAATCTTAAAAAAATTAAAAAAAGGAATGGAAAGTATGATCTCAGCTATTAAAATATACATAGAAGATAATAGACAAGAATATATGGTATACTATCATTTATATATAGATAAAAAATATAAACAGACCTCTATGTTTGTAAATGCAAAGACTAACCCTGAAAAATACATACATTGGAATCATATTTGCCTCTGGGGAGAGGAACAGAGAGGCTGGGAATCAGGGGTGAAAACAGGACTAACTTTTCACTATCAATCTTTAGGTTATATATTACTTATTTTTTATCATAAAAATTAGGAAAATAATGCCAGCTACAAATGGTGATAAGATAATGCTTGCAAACAGTAAAAGTTTGAATTATTTTCAATGTATGTATTACTTTTTAAATCAACAAATAATAAAATATAATTTAAAAACAGATGGTATTTTGTTGCATAAGAAAATAAGGGAGGGAATACATTTAAATGTTAACAATGACAGTTTCTGAGTGGATGGGGTGTCTTGTATTCTTTTCTAATTTTTTATGATGAATATACACTTTCAAAGCAGAAATTCTGTCTTGTAAACAGAAATGACTGTAAGCAGAGTAGTAGAGGATGGTGTGAGGCTGTTGTGGTTGCTTCCCTTGTTTTAAGTAGAAAGAAAGCATAATTCCTTTGAATTGCCAATTCTTGAAACAGGCTCTGCATCTTGTACCATGAAAAGCTGGAAACTTAGGGCTGTAAGACAGTTTAAAAAAGCGATGGCACCTCCTCTCTGGTCTCACTTTCTTCTTTCATATACATGCTCCACGTGTCCAAGTGTCCTGGGCATTTTCCAAACCCACTGGTGAGCATTGTCATGAGGCAGATTGATACAGGAATGGGACAGAGGGTCTTGGATAAAGGCTTGAGAGCTGGGAGATAAGAGAAGGAAGAAGAGAGGCCACCCAAGGCTACTGGTGGCATATTAAATGATGTGAGAAACAAAGGCAGAAGAAAAACCATTACATTTCCTTACTACCTACAGATCATTGACAAGTCTTTGAAACGGACAGAGTGACATTCCTCTAGGGACTCAACAGTCTCCAAGTCAGTGTCGACACCCTGCTAAACGCAGAAGGCCTACTTAGCCCAACCCTTCCCCAGTCTTATCTTGATGAGGCAGCGGAAGGCTGGCTGAAGACAAAGCACGAGCTGACACCTGGCAACCTACCACCCCTGGCTGGGACTTGTGCAAAGCTCCTCCAGGCATCTCCCAACAACCTTAATGTTAAGACCTCGAGAGAGGGGAAAACAACCTTAACTTGACAATGGCAAGGCATCCATTATCTTGTAGGTCCTCTTTTGCATATAAAAGTTCTTTTGAAGCCTCCCTTTTCCTAACCTCCCCAACCCCATAGTTTATCATTAGCCACCCTTCACAAGCCCATGCAGCAACTCTTTCTGTCCACCGGTCCTGTTGGTGTGCTTTAATAAAGTCACCTTTTTGCACCAAAGATGTCTCAAGTATTCTTTCTTGGCCATTGGCTTTGAACCGTGACATCTTTCTTACATCATTAAAACCTGTTAATAATCCTATATATCTGAGTGACCTTTCTTCAGGAGAGCTTTCAATTTTCTACATTTGTCAGTTTCTTGTCCTTGTCACCTCAGAGGCTTATAAAGCTAATTCCTCCAGTCAAAATCTCTTTCTTTTCTTTTGAGGAACAAAAACAGGAATTTCTTTTTTTTTATTAAAAATTTTTTTAGTTTAAAAAAAATTTTTTTTAGTTTAAATTCAGTTAATTAGCATATAATGTACTCTCAGTTTTAGAGGTAGATGTCAGTGATTCTTCAGTTGCATATAATACCCAGTGCTCCTTACATCCCGTGCCCTCCTTGATGTCTTCATTCGGTTACCCCATACTCTCATACCTCTGTCCACTCCAGCAGCCCTCAGTTTGTTTCCTATGATTAAGAGTCTCATAAGAGGTTTATCTCCCTCTCTGATTTTGTCTTATTTTTTTCCCCTCTCTTCCCCTATGATCCTCTGTTTTGTTTCTTAAATTTCACATATCAACAAGATCATATGACAGTTATCTTTCTCTGATTGGCTTATTTCGCTTAGCATAACACCCATGGGTTCCATCCACATCATTGCAAATGGGAAGATTCCTTTTTTTTGGATGGCTGAGTAGCATTCCATTGTATCTGTATACCACATCTTTATCCATTCATCTATTGATGGACATCTGGGCACTTTCCATAATTTGATTATTGTAGACATTGCTGCTATAAACATTGGGGTGCACGTGCCCTTTAGGATCACTACATTTATATCTTTGGGGTAAATACCCAGTAGTGCAATTGTAGGGTACTTCTATTTTCAACTTTTTGAGGAACCTCCATACTGTTTTCCAGAGTGTCTGCACCAGTTTGCATTCCCACTAACAGTGTAGGAGGGTTCCCTTTTCTCCACATCCTTGCCAGCATCTGTCATTTCCTGACTTGTTAATTTTAGCCATTCTGACTGGTGTGAAGTGGTACCTCTTTGTGATGAGTGATGTTGAGCATTTTTTCATTGTCTGTTAGTCATCTGGATGTCTTCTTTGGAAAAATGTCTGTTCATAACTTCTGCCCATTTCTTGATTGGATTATTTATTCTTTGGGTGTTGAGTTTGATAAGTTGTTTATAGATTTTGGGTACTAGCTCTTTACCTGATACGTCGTTTGCAAATATCTGCTCCCATTCTGTCGGTTGTCTTTTGGTTTTGTTGACTCTTTCCTTCAAAAACAAATTTCTAAAGAAAGTGACACCCTGGACATTATGTCATGTGAGGGTTGTCCTCTCACCCTCTTCTGATCACTTACACAGCCTGTCCAAGAACCCAGTGCTGAGCATAAGGAGAGATTGCAGGTGGAGAAGTAGGGCACCTGCTACTCCAATAGGACTGTGGGGCCGAGTGCTGCATTATGGGGTTCAAATCCAAAGTGATCTAGGGAAGGTGGCAGGTTTGAGAGAGCTGGGATCTCAGGGAAGGCCTGGCACATAAATAAATACTTGCTGAATGGATGAGTGAGCAAATAAGAAAATAAATAAACAAAGGATTGAGGCTTTAAAGGATTTGGAACAATAATGACTTATGTTTGCAGCTGTGTGGGATTTACCAGTTTATTAAAGTCTTACTTATTGTTATCTCATTTGAGTCCTGTAACAGCCCTGTAAGAAAAGCAGGACAGAAATTGTCCTTTCCATTTTCCAGATGATGAGATTGAGTCCCAGAGGGATGACATAACTTTTATTAATCCAGAACACATTTACTGAGTGCTTATTATATACTAGGACTTGTGCTAGAGGCTAAAGATGCAGAAATGAAGTACATTAAGTCCAAGATACTTGGTTTGAAGGAGTAGCTGGAGTGGTAAACAGTTTTGAAATGATACCAGGGCTGATAGTGTACTCTGGGGGCATGGAGGCAGGAGTGCAAGCCTCTGCCTTGCACAGTGAAGGTGAGACTTCATTTAGATCTATAAGGATGAAGATGAGTTTCTTAGAAGGGTGTTGTAAACAGAAAGAATATGTGTCTAAAGGAACAAAGCAAGAAATAACATGACATATTTCAAGTGTGTCATTTAAAAGTGGCATAAAAGGGGGCGCCTGGGTGGCTCAGTGGGTTAAGCCTCTGCCTTCGGCTCAGGTCATGATCTCAGGGTCCTGGGATGGAGCCCCGCATCAGGCTCTCTGCTCAGCCGGGAGCCTGCTTCCTCCTCTCTCTCTCTGCCTGTCTCTCTGCCTACTTCTGATCTCTGTCAAGTAAATAAATAAAATCTTAAAAAAAAAAGTGGCATAAAAGGTGTAAGAGTGGCACAGGTTGGTAGGGAGAAGGCTGAGGGGAAGATAAATTTTAGAGAGTTTATTCTTTAGCTAGTTGGTTCTTTGTCAGGTTAACCTGTTTAACCTAAACAGGTTAAAGATCTTTAGATCTTTAGAGCCATGGGGAGCCATGAACATTTTTTTTTTTTAAAGATTTTATTTATTTGTCAGAGAGAGAGGGAGAGAGAGCGAGCACAGGCAGACAGAATGGCAGGCAGAGGCAGAGGGAGAAGCAGGCTCTCCACCGAGCAAGGAGCCGGATGTGGGACTTGATCCCAGGACGCTGGGATCATGACCTGAGCCGAAGGCAGCCGCCCAACCAACTGAGCCACCCAGGCGTCCCGAGTCATGAACATTTTTGAAGGAGGGGAATGATAACCCTATGCTGAGCCTCTTCTGGAATATTCATGTGTCTACTGTTTTCGTTTTTTCTTTTCAAAATTTAGCTCAGGAGCTGCCTCCTGTGGGAGACTCTCCTTGACCATGATGCCTTCTGTTTATTTATTTATTTATTTATTTAACAGAGAGAGAGAGAGAGATTACAAGTAGGCAGAGAGGCAGGCAGAGAGAGTGGGTGGGGGGGAAGCAGGCTCCCTGCTGAGCAGAGAGCCCGATTCGGGGCTCAGCTCAATCCCAGGGCCCTGAGATCATGACCTGAGCCGAAGGCAGAGAACCAACCCACTGAGCCACCCAGGTGTCCTGATCATCATGCCTTCTAACTGGTTTAGATGTTAGATGTTTTCTTATGGGCTTCCTGGGCCAAGGCTTCCCTCCATCTTATGACTTATCTACTGCCTTGTTACCTGGGTTTACATGCTTTTTCACTCTAATCTGTGACCACTCATAGGTTATACCCCTTGTCTGATTCATATTTGTAGTCCCTATACTCAGCATAGGACTTGACCCAGAGCAATGTGCTCAGTAAATATTTGCAGAAGGAATGAATGGGAGGAATGGTGTTCCGCCCCAATCCTGAGACAACATTTGGAGCAGGTGCAGTACTCGGGTGATTCTGTGGTGTGTGTGTTTCTTCAGTGATGCTTGGGTGGAGTGTATGTGTGTGAATGGTGGAGTGACCATTAAAGATTGGTGACACTGGAGGTGTGTTCCTGAGTGACCGCAGGTCTCTCCTACAGATGGCTTCAGTGACTGATACTAAAGCTGGAGTCAAAGATGCTTCTGACCAGAATTTTGACTACATGTTCAAACTGCTCATCATCGGCAACAGCAGCGTTGGTAAAACCTCTTTCCTCTTCCGCTATGCTGATGACACCTTTACCCCAGCCTTCGTCAGCACAGTGGGCATTGACTTCAAGGTGAAGACAGTCTACCGCCATGAAAAGCGAGTGAAGCTGCAAATCTGGGTGAGTCCTGGGCATCTTGCATGGGATTATCAGGGGGTGACTAGTCTGCTAGTATAAGGGCTGGGAGGTGGGGGCCAATTTGGAACTTCTGGGTCTTAGGGCATCAAGCACTAGTGCTGTTGAAGGCCTGGCTTCTGGACTGCCCCTTGCTGATTTTATAGAAGATTTTCTTCTCTTGGGAACTCAGTTGCTTCTGCTGCTTAACTGTCTAAGAGGCTTTATCCTGCCCATACAAATAGGTGACCAAGAATCTGGGCTTTGGAGTTAGAAATTTGGATTCAGCTTCCAGTTCTGCCACTTATTAATCTTGGAATTGTGACTAAATTACTTAACCTTTTTAGGCTACCTTTTCCTTTTTGAGGATCATAATAACATCTACATCATAAGGCTCTTGTTTCTTAGCATAGTTCCTGGAATATAGTAAATGCACAGTAAATGTTAGTTCTTTTGTCCATAATCTGTCACTGTATAACAAATCACTTCAAAACTTGATGGCTTAAAACAACAATAATTCATTATTGCACAGTTTCTGTGGATCAAACATTTGGGAGTGGCTTGGTGTCTGTCTTGTGGCCTCTTAGGAGGTTGTAGCTAGATACTGGCTTGGGTTGCAGTCATCTGAAGGCTTGAGTGGGGCTGGAGGGTCCCATTCCAAAGCTACTTACTCATGTGTATCAGGTATTGGCTGTTAGCAGGAGGCCTTAGTTCTTTCCCATGTGGTTCTCTTCATGTAGTTGCTTAAGCATCTTCATGGCATCCCCCAGGGGAAGAGAGCCAAGAAACCAGAGAGAAAGTGGCAATGTCTCTTATTACTTAGACTTAGAGTACTCTGCAGGTCACTGAATCAGTGTAGGAGGAAAGTAAACAAGGGTATGAATCCTGGGAGGTGAGGATCATTGGGGACCATCTTGGAAGCTGGCCACCACAACTACTATTATTGGTATTTACTACACATTTATTAGTACAGTGGTACAAATTAAATAAATGAGTATGTATATATGTATATATTTGAGATGATATAGTAAAGTGTGGATCATATACTTTTCAATAATGAATTAGTACCAGGATTGGAAATTTTGAAGATTAGTGATTTAAAGTATTCAAAGCATGTGTTATTTATTATCTCTCCGTTCAACTTGTTAAATGTACATTAATACATTGTGCATATATCTTACTGGCTATATACAACACTTTTCTTTTTATAAATTATCTCCATATGTTATTATCTTACAATTAACCCCATGGGGCAGATATTATTTTAATTCACTCCTGTTTTACAGAAGAAAAAAATCCAGACTCCGTAACTAACTTGGCGTTAGATGGACCACACATTTGCCAAGTGGGATTCCCAACTCAGACCTTCTGATGATTCCAAGTTATGTGCTCTTTTCTCTACACTGTGCTATTGAGTCTTACAGAGCCCATATTTCCATTTATGATAAAGTTAATTATTAATTTATATAGAGATAAAAGTTTATTTTGTTCAGTCAGACTACTTAGTTCAGTGGTTCTAGGAGAATTACCTGGGAATTTGCTAGAAATGAAAATTCTCACGCCCCTCCTGAGACCCACTAAGTAAGAAACTCTGATCTCTGGCCCAAAAATGTGTGTGTTATAACAAGCCTTCCAGGTGGTTTTTGAGGCAGGCTAAAATTGAAGAACCACTTTGGTTTAACTGCCATTTTGTTTGCCAATCATATGGTGAGATTCAATAAGCATTTATTAAGTATGTGTGCCGAGCGCTTCCCCTTGTGTGGTCTAACATCCTCTTCACAGCCAATGCATGGAGAGATGAGAGCACAGGATATGGGGGCATGGTGAGCAATACAGGGGAACTGGAGCAAGGCTGTGAAGAGGAGGGAGGGGTGCTGAGAGAGAAATTTGCTGGAAGGCAGCAGCTTGAAGGTCAGGGAGACCTTTCACAGCAAATAGAAGTTTCTTGTAATGGGCCATAGTTTACCTACCTGATGATTGTTGAGAGAGCTGAAGAAACTATTAGAATTTATTTTTATCTATGAACATAAAATGCGTGTTTACTAATATTTCCTATGTGGATTGACAAAGATGTCTTCATGTGATCTCCATATCACATGGTCACATATCCTGAATTCAAAAAGTCTTCAAGTAAGGGAAGACATTCTGTCCTTCTAAGGGGTTGGCAGTGGTGGCTCCCTCCCTCCTTCATTTATGTCCAGCTGTTGTGAGTTTTTGCAGTGGATTTACTCATTATACCACCTGATTTAACTAAATAAACCTTCACAATGGATATGTGGTTTTAAAAGTGTCCTGCAAAGAAACCTCTGCCTGAAGACGATACTCAGTATAGTAAGCCCAAGAGAGCATGGAAAATGGCTGAACTGAAGTTTCTCTGACTCCCAGCACAAGTTCATTGTTAAACATGTTTAGAGGTAAAATCAATGATGACCTAATTAGATCTGACATAGTCAATCATATTGCTTTTGCTAAAAAAAAAAAAAAAAAAAAATTACCAAAGAGATTTTGTGCATGTGTGCTTTCCAATAGAAAAAAAAAAAGGTCTGTACTGTTCATAAATACATTAAAATGTGAACATTGAGATAGTAGTTATATCATTTTTATGTATTTTAACATCTTTTGTTACAGAAGTAGATAAGTATGTACATATGATCTAAGTAAATAAACAAATATTGTGGGAATGTGCTCACATGGCCTTACTTACAGGGGCTTAAATTTGGAGACCATTGCCAGACAGTGGGGAGCCACAGAAAGGTTTTAACAAGGACAGCTTTGCATTTTAGAAAAATCCCTTGCTTCAGTTTTGAGGATAGGTGGAAGCAAGACAAAGAAGCCAGTGGTTCCAGTAAGTTATAAAGGGCCTGAATTAAGTGTATTAGTCTGGTCCGGCTATGGTAACAAAATGCCACAGATTCGGTAGCTTAAACAATGGAAATTTGTTTTCGCACAGTTCTAGAGACTGCAAGTCCAAGGTCAGGGTACCAGCTAGGTTGATGTGTGGTGAGAGCTCTCCTCTGGGTCGCAGGTGGCTGTGTTCACATGGTCCTTCTTGGGGCTTATGTATGGAGAGTGCCAGGCTCTCTGGTGTCTTGTCTTATAAGGACACTAATCCTATCAGATCAGGACCAGATTCTTATGGCCCCAGGTAACCTTAATCACTAACTTAGAATCCCCATCTCCAAAGATGGCCATATTGGGGGTTAGGGCTTTAGTGTATGAATTTTGGGAGAATACAGCACTTGGAACATAATAGTAAGACTGACAAAATGACCTAAGGGGTGGAAATGAGAGAGATTTGAGAGAGATTTAGGATTGGAATTTACGGAATTGAATGATCCATTAATTGTTTAGGAAGGAGGAGGAACACATAGCTATTTATATATATCAACTTACACATATAGACTTCTGTAAACAAAAGTTCTGTGATTTTTTTTTAAAGCCATGTGAGCTTTGGTAAATTACCTTATTTCTGTGAATAGATAATATCCTCAACTGTAAAAGGCGCACAGGTTTGTCGATGGGGGGCTACATGTGATAACATAGTATTGGGCCTGGCATGTATTAGGAACACAATAAATGTTAGGTTCTTTTTTTCCCTCTGCTCCTAGTTCATATGCAGAGGCTAACTGGGTCCCTTCGCAGGTTTTCCTGTGGTTCCAGGAGTGCTGGAACAGGACAGGCGCTGTCTGAAGTGTTCAATTAAATTTCTCCAGTCAATTTGATCTCTCAGGATTTCAGAAAGCCTTTGTCAGGGTGGAAGGTAGAGACAGAACAAGAGGAGTTTCTGAGCACTGCTGAGCAGGACCATTCACAAAAGGAGTTCTCTCATCTCTGGAGGATATTGGATGATGAAGGCATTGGTAGTGCTTTGTTCCCTGGGGTCCTTGGCTGCATACGTCCCTGAGAGCCCCCTCTGTTTCATGAGAGGTTAATTACTGTGCATCAAGAAGAGAATCTTACTGGGGAGGTGGGGGTGGGGGAGAAGTCTCATTACTAGAGAGTGAGAGCATGCACAGGTGTGAAGGGAGAGAGACTTGGTAACTCCACAGCAACAGACCTGACTGGAGGCCATTTACTGCTGGGTTCTGGTTGCCAAGCAACCACTGGAGGCCTGTGGAAAGAGATGAGTGGGAGAGGGCCTTCCACTAGTTCCATTTGAGGCCCACTGCAGGAACTCTTGGGTCTGGTGCTGGTCAACAGAAGAATCAGGGTCTGTAGGACTGAACTGACCTAGGACTCTGGAGTCCTGGGTTTTAGTCCTGGCTCTCTGCCCTCTCGTCATGTGATCTGGAGGGAACTTTCTCCTCCCTGGGCCTGTTTCCCTAACTACCAGAGGGAGAAAATAATCCTTGCTCTTCTTGCCTCATGAGTTGCTAGGAAGATGAAGTGAGGAAATGCAAAGGAGAGCCTAAAGAGAACTCTGAAACCTTGAGGAGATCAGGGGATCATGGATGATTTTCCCCATGTGAATTCTTCTTGTATGTGATTTCAATCATTCTTTGTATCTTTCCCAGCTTCCCTCTGACCCAGGGAGGTAGTTATCTCTGTAAAGAATGGGTATTTGAGGGGTGTCTGGGTGGCTTAGTCCTTAAGCATCTGCCTTCAGCTCAGATCATGATCCCAGGGTCCTGGGATTGAGCCCCACACTGGGCTCCCTGCTCAACGGGAAGCCTGCTTCTCCCTCTCCTGCTCCCCCTGCTTGTGTTCCCTCTCTTGCTGTGTCTCTCTCTGTCAAATAAATAAACAAATAAATAAAATCTTAAAAAAAAAAAGAATGAGTGTTTGACATTGATGTGAAGTTCCTTATGTGGATCCAAACTGTAAATTTCATTCTTTAATTCATTCAGTAGACATTGTGCTAGGCCTTGTACTAGCTGTGGGGAAACAGCCTTCCTGCTCACATGGCGTTTATCTCTAGGAGGGAAGATAGACACAAAGTACATGAATAAAAAATACCTAATTTGGGGGATGCCGGAGTGGTTCAGTCATTTAAGCCTTGGACTCTT